ATTGAAGCTTGCCACAAGTGAAAGGGCTAGGGGAGGGCAGTTAGGATAGAGAAGAAACCACTATGGCAATGGTAGTTGAAAATGATCACTCTGGACAAGAACTGAGAACTCAAGGTAGGTAAAAAGACAAACATGATCGTCTTCCAGACCCTGTACTGAAAATCATTAAGCCCAAAAAGAAAGAGAGCAAGAGAGAGAGAGAGATACAGAAGAAAGCTCCTGCCACAGAGGCAGGCGGGGGGGCGGCGTGTGTGTGTGGGGGAAAACCACCAAGGGAGGGTGGCAGGAGGAAAACTGGGGACACCGGTGGTAAGACATGTACAATGGATCATTCTATGACCAAAACCCAATCATGAACAACTTTGTAACTGTGTATCTCATGGTGATGGAATAAAAAATAATCATGATTGATATTTTTTTATTTGGGTATATTCATCCTATTGAAAGAGCAATCTAACATTCCAAAGAAATTCTTGCCACAAACACCAGGAGATATGTACACAAATAAGAGCATACACATATACCTATAATAGAAAAAATAATTTATGTTTGTCAGTAGGAAAATGGACTTTTTACCCTTAATGTGCCACAGTATTCAAATCTGTACTCTGTGAAATAAGATCTCTGAGTGATTATATAATAGTATGTATGTTAAAGGGCCCCTGGAAGTAAAGAGAAAATAAAAATAAGTTTGAGAAACACATAATAATACATAGTTCCAACAATAGCAGAGATAAGACTCTGGCCGACATGGGCTGGGGAGAGAGTTCAAAGGGCTGGAGAACATGCCAGAGCTCTGGGTTCAAGACATAGGACAGAGCCGGGTGTGTCCCCAAATCAAAAGCAAACATTAACAGCAGCCAGCTAACTGGCTTTTCTGGATGCACCAAAAGGAAGTCTGCCTAAGGCTCCTAACTTGGTCAACATCTGACAGCACCTACAACCATAGAAAGCATAAATAGCCCTCACCTATACAACTACTACGACTACAACCATCTTAAAGTGCTGAGTGATGCTAAATGATCAACTTTTCATGAGAGCATCGACTTGAGTATACGTAAATTACTCGGTGCAGGTGTTCGACCTGGCACAGACCCTCAACAATAGGGTCCTACTCTGCCAGCTGCTCACCAACCCCAAGGAGATGAACCTGAGGCGCAGATGTCCCAGGTGCTGCCCAGAGACGCAGGCAGGTGTGTGTTTGTCAGTGTGCAGTTCATTACAACATGCCAGTTGACCAAAAGCTTGCATTCCATAGACTGGGAACACCTGTAAGGACGATTAGAGGCTGCCCCCAAACCCTCCATCCCTCTCGAAAAGCCTGGCAAGCTACCGAGAGTATCCCGCCCGCACGGCAGAGCCTGCCAAAAACAGTAACAATGATGATCTTCATTGCCCTGACCCTGAAAGAGCCTCCAGTATGCCATCGGGCGACACTAGCACATGACAGGAACGAATGGAGACTTTACTGGCACCCGCTCAAACAAATCGATGAACAACGGAATGTGTGATAAAGTGATACAGTGAATGTATCACAGAGACAGCAGTGAAAATGTATAAATCACAGGTAAAAGACATGCAGTAAAAGACATGAATTTACTAACAAGATGATGAACATGAAAAGGAAGTTCATTGTGATACTTTATAAAGTTCAAATTCAAGCAAAATTAAATATAGTTTGAACTTATTTTGTACTATGATTTTATTTTTTTAATGAGAGAAAAATAAACATAAAATGGTGTGCATATTGAGATACAAGATATATAAATGAAGTCGTGTTTACAGTATAGATGTGAATTAACAATTACTTAAATAACGTACACTAAAAATTATGACTAATACAAAGCTATGATGCCAAATGAACTTTAAAAAACAGTGAGATGCTCAATGGTAAATCATACACTTTGAATGTGTGAGATCTCAAGTTCAATCCCTAGCACGGCAAAAAAGTAAAAACAAAACTCTACCTAGGAAACCACATCATTTAGTTCAAACCATTCTAGAAAAGACCTAACTGATCTACATGAGAATAGGAAGTTCATTCTTAAGTTACCTAAAGTAAAGATAATCTGTTAGATTTTTATTTTAGTTTTTAATGTAGGAGCACTGTTATTTATTCAGCCATTGATTAAGCTGACTGAAATGGGCATGAACTCCACATTACTTTTTTAAAAAATTTTTTAAATTGACTATCCATGAGATAGACCATTACAAAGCTGTTCATAACTGGGTTTCAGTCTTACAACGATCCAGCATCCATCCTCCACCAGTGTACATTTCCCACCACCAATGTCCCCAGTTTTCCTACCACCATCCCCCAACACCCCACCCTCCATCTCCAGCCTCCCTCTATGGGAGGCATTTTCCTTCTTGCTCTCTCTCTCTCTCTCCTTTTCCTTTTCTGCATTATGGTTTGCAATACAGGTGCTAAGAGGTCAGAGTGTCCGTTCAGGACACTCGGTATTTTTATTGGGATGATAAGGGTGGAGTAGCTTTTTAACTGGGCGGCAGCTTTGGGGTGTGGATGTGATTGCCAATGCTTCCAGAAGTATAGGGAGGTGGGGCAAGGGAACCCATTTTGACCCTGCGAAAGCCTGGAGATTTCAGTCACGAAACCTGCAAACCAGAACTTTCAGCAGATTATATCTGGGTGACATCTGTCCTGAGAGGATGGAATCAGGCCAAGGGTATGGCAGCAATTTGGAATAGTGGGAGCAAGTGGCCGCCAGGGACTCTGCTCGGGTGGCCACCAGGCACATCCGCCCCCCTCTGATTACCCCAGGCGTTCAGCCTTGTGCGGGCCTGAGATTAACTGCAGTTTTTGGTTTCTGAAGCAAGGCTGGTAGTAAAGCTTACATGGTGGCGCTGGAGTTGGTTCACAGGAGTGACTGTCAGTGCTTCGAGGAGTATTAGGAAGTGAGGCAAAGCATCCCATCCCAACTCCAAGAAAGCCTGGAGATTTCAGTCACAAAACCCACATACCCAAATTTTCAGCAGATTATATCTCAGTGAGGTACAACCTGAGATGGTGGAGTCAGGCCGGGAGTATGGTGGCAATTTTGAATTGTGGAAGCAAGCAGCTGCAGCTGGACTCTACCTGGGTGAGCTCCAGGCTGACCTGCCCTCCCCTCCGATTTAACCCAGTCTGTTGAGCCATGTGTGGATCTGAGATTAAGTGTGGCTTTTGATCTCTTTAAAGATTTATAAATGAGTTTGTATATCTGAGCTGACAGTGTTTCGTGGGTGTGGTTCCCACATACCTAACTTTGTTCATTTAATTTCTTGGGAAACTTGGTCCCAAGTTGTTGGTGTCCAGCCAAAGGCACAGCAGCAATTTGGGGGTATCAGAATGCCTGAAGGCATCATCAAGCTGCTGATACACTCACCCCACAGGTACAGGTTGACTTGCTGGTGTCAGCATACCCCCCATGTTATATTTTTTAACACCCAAACAAAAGTCAACTCTCCAACAGGCATGAGAATGAAAAGGAAAACTTGACAAGAATTCTAAGGTAGGACTTCTTTTTCAGTACCATGAATCATACCCATGCATGCTCATGCATGAAGGCATGCATTCTTACCACTGAGCTACATTTCCAGCAAGATAAAAACTCTAGAGGTCCATTAAAATAAGCAGGCACATCTAAGATAATTATTCCCAATCGAAATCCAAGAGATCTTTATTTTCTCTTCAAAAACTTCCCTTTGTCAAGGAAGGAAGTGTGACAATCCTAACCCAGGAGTACCTTTTGGCAATTTTATACTCTTGTCTCTCATAAGGCAAAGACAGAGCCTTACAAATGTTTGTGTATTGATAAGGACCTAGCCCTCTGACTGGACACACTGGTCACTGGAAACTGAGCAATGGAAACCTGTAATTACTTCCTCCTCATTATCACAGTAAAAGACACTTCCTTAACAGTGTCTTTGCTCTTTTGTATAAATGTGATATATGGCCATGCATGCTCATTATATATTACTCAGCAGTTCATGCTCACCCCTCTGCCTCTTTTTCCTGAAAAAAGCTAAGTATGTATGAACTTTGAAGTCTTAAATTAAGTCACCCTACCTCTACTCAGCACAATAACCTCTTTCTTCGCATGGGGTTGGGAGGAGGGAGTTGGGCCGCACACACAGCTCTGTGCTCAATGGTCACTTCTAGAGATGCTCAAGGAACCATATGCAGTGATGGGGACCAAAGGAGGATTCACCGTATACAAAGAAAGCCTCTTAACCCCTGTCCAGACCAACTTACTCTTATTTATTTGTTGTTGTTTTGTGGCCACACCTGGCTGTGCTCAGAGCTTTTTCCTGGTTCAGTGCTCAGGGATCAAACACTGAAGTACTCATGGGACCATATTGGGTGCTAGGGACCAAACCTGAGTTGGCCATGTACAAGGCAAGCATCCTTTCCTATTGCTCCAGCCCTGCAATTTACCTTTTAAAAAAAATTGTATTGAGGGGCTGCAGCAATAGCACAGCGGGTAGGGCATTTGCCTTGCACGTGGCTAACAAGGGTTCGATTCCCAGCATCCCATATGGTCCCCTGAGCACTGCCAGGGGTGATTCCTGAGTGCAAAACCAGGAGTAACCCCTGTGCATTGCCAGGTGTGACCCAAAAAGCAAAAAAAAAAAAAAAAAAAATTTGTATTGAAATTCTATGGTTTGCAATACTTTTAATAATCATTTCTCAAGGACATAATTCCAACACCACTCCTTTCACCAGTGTACCCCACTCCCTCCCCAAGAACCCCAACAACCCTTCCACTCATTCCCCACACAACTCAATTGTTCTCCCATTCCGTTGCCTTTGGACATTCATTGCTACACTGCTGTATGTCTCTTAAGTCCCACATTATTGGAGCCTTCACTCTGTACCTGTCCCTTTCCTTCTGACTCACTTCATTCACTTCACTCAGCATATCCTTCTTAAACGTGGCTAAATACATGTCTATTCTCAGTCCATAATTCCATAAAAATGTCAGAGACATTGATCTTACCGTGAAGGTCTTCCTTCTTTAACAAAGAGTTAAGTTGATTCATGGCGTTGAAGACAAGGATGGACTCCACAGATGCTCTGTATCTCCCAGAATGCTCAGTGCTCACATTTAGGCCCAGGCTTTGAATTCCTTGGCCAGTTTCTATCCCTTCCAAGAGTGGAAGCTCATGAGGGAGAAAACTGGTAATGATGCTGTGAAGAGTTGGCTCCTTAGAATCAGGATCTAGTAACCAGCATGCCACCTGAGTGTAAAAGCAATATGCATATTTTCTTGATTTCTCAAAGACATTCCTGCATAAAAGAATTTTAAAGGAAAAGAAGAAAGCTTATGTCTAATCTCACTTGATTCCTGCTCAGTGGTCTTCCCATGAAGGGAGAAGGAAAGAATAACTGCAACAAGTTTCATTTTTGGTTCTAAACAGAAATGTAGTAACATGGTTAACGCCCAGTTTAGTTATTACTATAGACCTGTTTTAGGAAATGGTATATTTTTCAGGTGAGCTGTCTTAGCTGATGGGAAATGTGGAAAGGTCATATATTTACTAAAAAGTGACTATCCACATACAGAGTGTTTTAAGGATTTTGAAATTTGGTCTCTCCAATAATTTGAAAATTATATTAGGGGCTGGAGCAGGTAGGGTGCTTGCCTTACATGTGATTGACCCAAGTTCAATTCCCAGACCACATATGGTCTCCCAAGCCCAGCCAGGAGTAATTTCTGAACAGAGAGACAGTAGTAAGCCCCTAAATACAATCAGGTGTGGGCCACAAACAAAATTAATAAATCAATTTTTTAATTAGATATATAAAAAATTAAGTAAAACTTGAAACCTTAGGATCTTCATAACTTTGTTCTAGGGAGATGCCACAAGACTGAAGAAGAATTTTATAGCTCTGGATGAAATCATAGATGATAACCGAACGTTCTTTGTCAGATGCTTTTTGAAAACAGGACTGAAGATGCCACATTCTGTCTTTCACAGTCAGCCTTGGATCCAGAGAAGGTGCAGCCAAACTGGCACTAATTTCTTTTAAAAAAATTTAAAAAAAAATTGCATGCATTCTTTTGAACAGCAATCTAAAAATCTTTAGTAAAAAATAATAACCAAAAAAGACTCAAAAAGTCTAAAAGAATATTTCCATATAACCAATAATTCAACATGCCTATGTACAGGTCATTTAGGATATATAGAAAAAGCATTTAACAGTATAAAAATTATCTGGAGGTTATATAATTTATCATTATTTATTTAGAGTAGAAAATCCTTAAGATCAAGATTTCATAAAATTATGGTGCTCAAAATGAGAAGATGATAGGAAAGGTATCTGAAATTAATTTTTAAAAATTCCTTTTAATAGAAGATTAAATCAAACATACTATCCATCTAAAATAAAATCAAACATTAAATTAACTACTCATATAACCTATATGACTGAAAAACAGATAAGATATATATGTATGTGTGTATGTATGTATAGATAGATAGATAGATTTTTAAACAGGTTTTATTGGATCACAGTGAGATACAGTTACAAACTTGCATGATGGTGTTTCATTCAAACACTGCTTGAGGACCCCTCCCTCCACCAGCGCACATTTTCCACCACCATTGTTCCCAGTGTCCCACCCGCCACCTTCACCCCACACCACTCCCAGCCTCTGTCACAGGTACAGTCCTTCTTACTCTCTCTCTCTAATTGTTGGCATTATGATTTGCAATACAGATACTAAGAGGTCATCATGTTTGGTCCTTGGTCTACTTTCAGCACATATCTCCCATCCCGGGGAATCCCTCCAATCATCATTTACTTACTGGTTCCCTCTCCATCCCAACTGCCCTTGGAATCTGCACTTAGGACCAGATTCCAAACGATGGTGTGATCCTCCTGGCCCTTATCTCTACTGTCCTTAGGTGTTAGTTTCATATTGTGCTACTGTATATTCCACAAATGAGTGCAGTCATTCTATATCTGTCCTTCTCTTTATGACTAAGTTCACTTAGTATGATACTCTCCAAATCCGCTTATAGGCAAATGTCATGGTTTCATCTAACAACAGCTAAAATATTTAATGCAAACTGACATTTAAATTAAAACATGGACCTTTAATCTTTAAATTTTTCCATTTACTGGAATAAAGCTGCTCCTTTCTAAAACCAACTTGCTAGGTAATCAACAATCATAATCATAAAATAAATTAAAAGGTATTTTCAGATGGTAGCCTTTCAGTTCCAAAGACTGTGATTCAACTACTCTAGCTAACCAAGAGAAGTAGATGAATCACACTGGAGATCCAGTCAATGGAAGGAAAAAACTTGGAAAAGAGACTGTTATGGTATGATATTCCTCAAAAATAAATTCTCAAGGTAACTTGAGGAACCATTGTCCCCAGAAGTAAACCAGTGTTTCATTCACAAATCACTCAACCAAGTTAATAATGTATAATAATATAAACACTAGCCACTGTCCAAAAAAAATTTAGACCTAAATTCTAAATAGACATAAGAATATTATTACCCCAAATAAAGTTATTGTGCTGAACCAATAGAAGAATGGTAAGGCGTTTGCCATGAATGCAGCCAACGGGGGCTTGATCCTGGTACCCATATGGTCCTCCACGCCCTGCCAGGAGTGATCTCTGAGCACAGAATCATGAGTAAGCCCCAAGCACTGCTAGATATGATTCAAAAGTCAAAATACTAAATTACTATACTAATAAAGATTACATTAAAAACTGTACGATGACTTAGTCCAATTACTTACCAGAATCCTTTTGTTCCTTCTGCAATGAAAAATAGTAGGCGTCCCTTCCACCCCAACATACTGCCAATCCGACCACAAAGAGATCATCACAACCTTTAACAGGAAATCCATCATCTCTAATAGGAGTTTCCTGAGGTGAGTTAGCTAAATAAATCAAAAGTAAAAAGATAAAAAATTCAAAATAAAAAAAAATTATTGGAGACCAAATTTCAAAATCCTTAAAAACATTCTGTATTTGAATAGTCACTTTTTAGTAGATATAAGATCTTTCTACATTTCAGTTAAGACAGCTCACTCTGAAAAAATATACCATTTCTTAAAACAGATCTATTGTAATAACTAAACTGGATGTTAAAGAGGAATTTTCAAACAGAAATAACATTAGCAGAGTAGTTCAATGTTGATATATCAACAACCGGAGGCTCATGCTTTGCAAGCAGATACCAGTGTTTAATTCATAGCATTGCATGGTCCCCTGAGAACAGCCGAAAGTCACTATCCCCCAAAAAAGTTTTATAAGAAAATGAATAACTCTTAACATTGATAAACTACAGAAAATTCTAATGTTTAATTCTTTATGAAGAACTAAGTGTGATTCTGTACCTTAAGACAATATTTTTCTAAAACGCTGATCAATTTTACAAAGACAGGAGAGGAACCGATCAATTTTTATTTAAATTTATGGGGCCGGAGAGGTAGTAAAGCAGGGTGGGAGCTTGCCTTGCACATGGCCAACCTGGGTTCAATTCTCAACATCCAATATGATTCCCCGAGCACCACCAGAAATAATTCCTGAGTGCAGAGCCAGGAGTTAGGCCCCAGCATCACTAGGTGTAGCCACCCCCCCACAAAAACAAAACAAAAATTACTTAAATTTGTATCTCTGATATCTGGAGATTATTGGGACACAATGAATTAATTTAGGTGAATTTATCTAACTGCTAGCATAGAAAATGTGCTTAATTTTGTTTGTGGTATAAAATAAAACTCCAAGATGATAACACATAAAACTTGCAATTAACATGCATTCCATGAAAGCATGAATAGAAAATCAAATATTGATCCATCATGAATGAATGCAAAGATTTTTAAAATGTTATCAAGATACTATAGAAGCTAGGGAGGGTGTGCACGCACGCGTGCACGCGCACACACACACACACACACACACACACACGGCTAGTATGCACCTGGCCAATATTCAAGTATTCAATCATGGCTCCATAACCATGGCTCAAGCCTCACCACCAGATATAACCCTGGAGATCCTCAAGCACCCCAAGGTAGCCTTGGTGTTCCCCACTATGACAGGGTGGAACAGCATCCTCAGTCACAGCACCGACCCACTGCCTGGCTGACTGAGTATCACTAGAAGTAGCCACAGCCCCCTCAGCATTGCTTGGGAGGCTCCTTCCCTACCCTGCAAAATTAGACCAATCTCTGGCTTCCACACAGACTACACCAATTCCCCATAACACAGAATCCCTACAGTCAAGAAGACAAGATAGAAACATACATGGATTGTTATATTTAATTCTCTCAAAACCTTGAGGTTTGTGAAGTTTGTGGGATCAGTATCAAAAAAAATGGGGGAGCGGCTGTTGGGTTTACATCCAGCAATTCTCTGGACTTACTCCTGGCTCTGCACTTAGAAATTACTCCTAGTGGTGCTTGGGGGACCATAGAAGAATCAAACCTGGGTAAATCATGTGCAAGAAAAACATCCTACCCACTGTATTATCTCTCTAGTGCCATGTATAAAATTCTTGACAATCAACGGAGGCATAAGTTCTGAATAAAGTGAGTTCTGGAAAACTTAATGTGCATGGTGAACACTGTAGTGTTTATATGCTATTAACTTCTGTAATTATATTAAAAAAATAAGTATATTATAATAAAAATAATTCATTAGCAATGATTACTAATAAAAACCATGTCACACCATTAATGGTATGCACATTCAAATGATATATCATCTTCATTTCTATATACACGGCTTAACATATAATTATAGAACAAATTCTGTATGTAACGTATTTTCTGAGAAACACTGTTTAATAGTAAATCTTAGCAGAGATAGGTAGGTGACCTCCTCCAAGCATCACAAGGTTAAGAGAACAAGAAAGGTGATAATTAAAGTGAAGGGTTCTGGAGTGAAAAAGAGACAGGTTATTTGAGAGACATGTTAACAAAAAAAAACAATAGTCAAGCTGTGAAACACCATTCCAAATGCCAGCTATACCAACTGTGGTAGCCCAGAATCAGTACATGGGGCCACTTTATCATTGTCCCCAGAGACAAGACTAGTCTGCACCTCCCCGGTGGGCACCTAGAATAAGGAGTTGCTCTAGGAAGGCTATTTAGAAGGGCTCTCTGTCCTACTCAGAAGGGGACAGACAAGTTGATTAAGTGCAGATCAGACCCAAATGAGTCAGCAGAGCTCTTCCAGTTTTATTTTTTTCATGATCCCACCTTAAGCTCTTGGTCTGAGTTGTCAGTTCACCCACACAGTTCTCCCACCCTGGACGCCCCCATCTCTTATACCAAAGGACAATTATTACTAAAGTATTACTCTATGGTACAATAAGATCTCTATACGTAGATCCTAAAATAAGAGAAAGTTACTAAACTTCGGATAAATCTATTAAATTTACTCCCCAATATTGAAAACTCGAGTCTCATCTAAGTCTACTATGTTAAAAACAGAATATTTAAAAAAAAAACTAAAGGGGAAGGTCTTTATGAGAGTAAGATGGTACTGGAACTTTAGGGATGGGGGTAATGAATCCTAAATACTTATATAAAAGAGCAAATTCTATGGTATCATAAATCAATCAAAAATATATGCTACACCAAGGGAGAAGAAAATCTTACCTTGCTTAAACCTACCACCAATTGTAGCACTTTTAGATGATGTCAAATTGCTGAACTTTTCACAAGCCAGTGAAATGGAAAATCGCTTTTTGCTTTGCCACTCCTTAATGAATGTTTCAAAAAGACTTTGGTCACTTGCCACATCAATTATGGTCAGACTTTCTGAACTGCATGAGGATGCAGTTAACTGCAATTCATCTTGTGATAACTTCAGTGAAAAACTTGTATCTTGGGTAGGACTGTTGTTTCTGAAAATACTTCTACACTCGAAACTTAAATTGGGCTTTTTAATATTTGAAGGTGATTCCAATGAATGACTTTCACCAAGTTGTAAAATGCTACTATTTTTCTGAAGTTTTATAGAAGATGTTCCACAAACACCTGAAAATGCCAACTTAGAAGCAGATGCTGGCATGGGTGTAGGAGGAATGAGACCATTATCATCAATATGTGGCAGGAGAGATGAGGTTTTGCTGGGAGTGACATTGTTCTCCACGGTGTCCATCTTGCCTTTTGCTTCTGTATTAGAGGATAATAAAATTCCACACACTTGATTTGACTCCAAATTCAAAATCACTTCTTGTCTGTCATTTAGCTCTGTATGTTTTCCCTTCTGTATGTTTAGCTCTTTACTTTCTAGAGGACTGGGCACTTTATCTAAAATCCTTTGCAGTCCTGTACTTAAGTCAAATGATGACTCAGACCATATGAATGATTTGTTTTGCCTTGTCCCAGAGAATATGTATTTTTGAGACTTTTCATCCTTATCACTTTCAATTTCTTCTCTTTGAAGATAATCCTTATTTAAAATTGCTGGATCACTGAGTTCTAAAGGCCTAAGAGATACTGAAGTATTAAGTTTCTCTTGAGTAGGAAATATATCTCTATTTTCCAAAGCGTCAGCCATCTGAGCTGAATCTATTTCTGAGAAGATAATAGACTCATCACTAAAACAAGTCAACAGTTGCTGATTATCTTGATTCCCATTTGACTTTTTAATTGACTCCTCTGGTTGAAAACACAGAGAATTCTTAACATGGGCTGATGTGATTTCAGAAGGATCTAGAGGTTCTTTTGCTTGTTGATCAGGTTGTTCTTTTACTGGGCAATCTTCACTGAAGCTATCAAATAGTAAACTATCACTCAAATTCAAACTTGTTTCACGAACTGGCAGACATTCTACCTCGACGCCAGTGGGAGTTGACTTTTGAGGAACCAGAGGTATAACTGGCTTAATAGTTTCTTGTGTCTGATAACCTTGAAGAAAACTATTTAATTGGGAGTCAGTAACAGAATGTTCATTCCCTTTAAAACAAGGACCATTTTCCCCAATTAGTACCGGAGAATACAAAATTGGGCTTTCTGGAATCAGACTATCAACAGCATGTGAATCAGAGCTTTCTTTCATATCTTCTATTTTAAGTTTCAAATGATCTGCATTTGTTACTTCTGAGAAGTGTGGATCTCTAGGAAAAGCTATGTGAATCTCCTGTAAAGAGCTCATTGAGCTCTTTTTGTCAAAGCTCTTTTGCATTATTCCTTTGGCTAGGTTGAAGTCCTTTGTTTCATCTCTAGCATTTTCAATTGTCATCTGTTGTATTATTTTTTCTGACTGAGTATCAAGATACAAACTGTCTTCAAAATCTGAGCCTAGGTTAGAAACACAATTATTTTTACCCCTGCTTACTGTATAAGCATTTGGTTCTTCCCCTACTTCACATGTATTCAAAAAATTTTCATGTTGGTTTCCAGATCTATCGAATGTTTCAGCTGGCTGAAGTACTTCACTATGTATATCAGTGCTGCTTATTTTATCTCCCAATACTTGAAAACCATTCGATTTCCTTTCCCCGGTATTAAACTTGATGTTTTTACATTCAGTGGCATTTAAGTCGCTATTTCTACAACTACTAGCTGTCTCATAGGGCATTTGTCTCTCTATTAATTTTTTCTCTTTGGCATCATTATTTATTTCTTTATCAGACTCATTGTTTAAACTCTGGTTAGTTAGATAAGTATCATGGTGTTTCACAGTCTGGTTTTTTGAATCGTTTTGTACTAATGCACTGTTTACATTTTCTGACTCAACAACAGCTAATCCTCTTCCATTTGTACTAACCACACTAGAGATTGGACAGGTCACTGCTTTATTTGGAAGTTCTGCTATAGTCTGTTCCGCAAGAATGTCATTAGCAGGGGGTCTGTTCTGTGAGCAATTTTGTTCTTGGTGTGCTGGGAATGAAGTTTTGTTATGTTTTTCCTTGCCACAAGAGGATGCCATTTTAGCAGATGGCTCTGGAGTTCTAAATTTCATATTGTTCTCGTCAAAGGTAAACGAGTTTTCACTCTGAAAGGGATTGGATACGGGCTGTTCTTGTAAATTAATTTTAGACATTCCAGTGCCTTCCACTGGGCTGCTGTTTTTCAAACGTTTTAGACGTTTACTCGGTTTTGAAGATCCATAGGTTTTACTAATCTTTTCCAAACTGAACGTTTCTTTTTCAGTTTTCTCAGGTGAGACAGTCTGAACAGCAATCTTACTTGGTTTCCTCAGAGAGGTTCCTAACTTATTATTTATACTCGAAGAAACCCATTTTCTTGCTCTCGAAAAACAATGTATTTGATGTACCTGATTGTCTTTCTGGGGCTCATAACAAGTAGAATCTGTATGCTCTCCACTTTGATTTAAATCTTGCATTGTATTTAGGGGACGCATAACAGAAGAATCATGAAATACTGTATAACTTTTGTTCCTTGATAGTGCATTACTTTTTTCCTTTTGTTTCTTCTTAAAATGCTTAATTTGAGGTACAAGCTTATGTTCCTTTAGTTCTGACTCATTGCTGGACAATGAATTAGATTTTGAAAGGGAATATGGATTCCACTGCACTCCCATTTCCACTAAATCCTGTTGCAGAATCATGTTAGCTTCTTCCACTATTAGGGCTGCGGCTTCTCTTTCAGTCAAGCCTTTTTTTCCAGTCACCCAAATAGTTCGCATGTTCCGCCTTTCTTCAGCTGCTTCCTCGTCCTCATCCACTGCCTTTCGGGCACTTTTCCAAGATAGGAAAAGAAGTGAATTAATGCATTCAAGTAACAAATATTTAATAAGCATCAATCTGAGTTGTTCTAGAAGCAAAAGATGCTCTCAGAGTTTGTATTATAGGTAGAAAAAAAATGTTTAAAAAGCAATCTATGTGAAACAGTGATAACAAACAAAAACAAAGAACCAGGAAAGGTGGGTCACTCATTTTTTTTGTAATATAAAGGCGAAAGAAAACAAAAGCTCAGTATCAGTATCAGTAACTATTTCTCAGGCAACAGGCTTGAATTATAGGATACCATTAAGATCTAGACAAGCTAGATAATCAAAAGTAAAAATGTACCCACTGGAGTGCAAATATACACCTTTCTAATTTTAGAAATAAAATACTGGTGAGTAAACTAAGGTAGAGAGAAAAAAGCAACAGATACAACAACATACGTAAACATCACATAATACTTTACAATAATTTAAGCGAATAAAATCAATCACTAAAATCAGATTAGAAAGCAAAACAAAACTGGACCTAAACATGGCATAACAAAAAATGTATACTTAAAGCAAAGTGATCTTAAAAACTTAAAAGGAAAAGGCCAGAACAATAGTACAGCAGGGAGGACATTTACCTTGCACATGGTCAACCTGGGTTCAATCCCCAGCATCCCAAATGGTCCCCTGGCAAGGACAACCAGGAGTAATTCCTCAGTACAGAGTCAAGGATAATCACCCCAGTTATGGTTCTAAACTAAAGCAAACAGGAGCTGGAGCGACAGCACAGCAGGCAGGGTATTTGCCTTGCACACGGCTGACACGGGTTCAATTCCCAGCATCCCATATGGTCCCCCGTGCACTTCCTGAGTGCAAATCCAGGAGTAAGCCCTGTGCATCGCTGGGTGTGACCCAAAAAGCCCTCCCCCCCGCCCCCCCAAAGAAAACAACAACTAAAGCAAATAAAACCAGAAAAGGATAAACAAAGGTATCCCCAGCCAAAGAGAAACAATTGGGGAAAAAAAGAAGAGTGGCATATTGATGCACAAAAATATCAAAGTTCAGGTCGAAAAGGTATTAAATGTAACAAAGAGTACAATTTAACAACCAAATCATAATATCAATAAAAAAAACTTCATTATATTCAGTCAGAATATCTATTCATCAAATAACAAGCAACCATTTTAATGAATCAAACACCATAAGCAAACATAACACCATAAGCAGACACAAAGACAATAAGATTAGAGTTCAATAAACTACTCATTAAAAAAGAGATGGAGTATTGGCCCACAGCCCCTTCTGCCTTGGCAGGTGAACCAGTCCTTTTTTGGTCACTATGATCTGCTGCCAGTCGGCCACCTCTTGTGCCCACCTTCACTCCATTGACCCCAGCGGTTGAACCAGGGAGCTCGCCCCTTGGTATGGCCCACTTCCGGCCTTCCATTCAGCCGACTCTAGTAACTGACTGTATTAAGAAGCTTAAAAGTCTCATGACTTCATCTCTACTAATAGCTACATATTATTCCATTGTGTAGATGTACCAAAGTTTCTTTAACCAGTCATCTGTTCTAGGGCACTTGGGTTGTTTCCAGGTTTTGGCTATTGTGAACAGTGCTGCAATGAACATACAGGTACAGATGTCATTTCTACTGTGCTTTTTGCATCCTCAGGATATATTCCCAGAAGTGGTATTGCGGGGTCATATGGAAGCTCAATTTCTAGTTTTTGAAGGTCTGTCCATATTGTTTTCCAAAAAGGCTGGACCAGTTGGCAAGGGCCAGAAAGATTGCTCCATAGCTGGAAACCTGCCACATGAGCAGAGGGGAGAAGGCAGCTGGAACAGAGAAGGGATCACTAAGGAAATGATGGCTGGAGGAATCGGCTGGGATGGGAGACGTGTGCTTTAAGCAGATAATGGACCAAACATGATAACTTCTCAATATCTGTATTGCAAACGATAATGCCCAAAAGTAGAGACAGTATGGCGAATATTGTCTGCCATGGAAGCAATGAAAGGGTGGGAAAGGGGGGTATATCGGGGATATTGGTGGTGGGGAATGTGCACTGGTGAAGGGATGGTGTTTGATCATTGTATGATTATAACGCAAACATGAAAGCTTACAACTATCTCACAGTGATTCAATAAAATTAAAAAGAAGAAAAGAAAAGCTTAAAAGTCAAGCTCCGCAACCCTTACCCCATCCCTCCAATTCCATCAATTGAGACCATAGGGACTCACTGTGGCCCATCCTGAACCAAGATCCTCCCAGTGTGAGTTCAGTACCTAGTACCATTTCTGCAGGTCCAACCAAAAAATTACCACATAGCAGCACTGAAACTGAACTTAATTCCTAAAAACAAAACTCTGTTAAATTTCTGAAAATGCTGGAAAAGCTATGGGATCTCGTTGAGATACCTTATAAGTGAATTCATAGACAAACTGCTGATAAAATAAGCAAATTATTTCCTGATTATATGTTAAGACTGGTAAATTCATTGAATTAGCTAAATACATATGTGCACATATGGCAAGATACCTTTTCCACAAATTAGTGTTCCAAAGAATAGGCAAAGGAAGTACATTTAAAGTTCTCTTGCCTAAAAAAAGTCTAAAAATAATCCTGAGTGAATGTTGAAAATAAATATCCATAGACCCAGCAAGTATTATTAACTTGCCTTAACTCAACCTTTCTAGCGAGAGAATTTTAATACTTTTAGAAAGGTCATTTGTTCGTAAAATATTTTTTTAATGCACAATTTGTAATCCTTAAGAGGAAAAAAATTGATCACATTTTTTTTCTACTTAAGCCAAGCAGGTAGGTCATGATACTAAGAAAAAATACTTTAGCACACTATTGCTATATTTATTTAAAAATTAAGATTTATATTTAATAACCTTAGTATAGACAGATTCAACCCTAATGTAGCTTACCTTTTAAAAGGTGCAGCACTTCTCAGAACAGTCTCCACTTCAGAAATATCTGCCCTGGCAAGATCTGCCACAGTAAGAAAGCCGGAAGCATAAAGGAACCTGGCTCGCTGTGCATTCAGTAAGGACACCCGGATCAAGTCACACAGTTCCCTCTGGATACCAAAGGTGAGGCGCTTCTGAAACTGGGAAAGGAGTAGTTCCATGTTGTGCCAGCCCAGGCGGTTGCAAAACACTGTAATCATCCCTAGAATATTTACAGAATATTTATTGAATTCAAAATTCTTTATAAACTAATTCTTGATGTACTTTAGTTTCATCGTTTTTGTTTCCTTACAGGCTATCATGTTTAACAATCTCAGAATGTAAGTTACCTAAGAACAGACACACATTAAGGGCCTTATATCACTGTCCTCCCGTTGTTCATCAATTTGCTCGAGCGGGCCCAGTAATGTCTCCATTGGAGACTTTTGTTGTTACTGTATTTGGCATATTGAATACATCACGGGTAGCTTACCAGGCTCTGCCCTGCGGGCGAGATACTCTTGGTGGCTTGCCGGGCTCTAAGAGAGGGGTGGAGGAATCAAACTCGGGTTGGCCATGTTGGCTACGTGCAAGGCAAACGCCCTACTGCTGTGCTATTGCTCCAGCCTGAGGGCCTCATATAACCAATTTAATCTGCCAATGCAAGATATGTAATCTCTTTTAAATTCTTAATCATGAGCCTGACATTTGAAAAAACTAAGGCAGGGGACATAAACACAAAACAAACAAAAAAGTTCCCACCCTAGTTCCTTCCTTTCATTCTCACTTCCTTACTTTCATTTAAATAAGAGACTCTTAAAAAACACTTAAGGATGCTCCCTTTGGCAGCACATAATACTATAAAACAAGGGCTCTTGCCTCTTGTTTAGAGGTAAACAAGAAAGGTAATTTAAATATCCAAGTGCTGATATTATTACAAAGAGTGAAGTTCTGGGTGATACTGTCATCGTTTAATTAAAATTGAAGTAACACTGTTATATGACATTATATAGACAAGATCTTCTAGATCAATAGCTAATGTAGCAAAAAAAAAAAAAAAAAGCCATGCCAGAGCAGCCAAGTGTCATTAAGAAAATCACTTCTAGGGGCCGGAGCAGCAGTACAGCATGTAGGGCATTTGCCTTGTACATGGCTGACCCTGTTCATTCTCAGCATCCCATATGGTCTCCTGAACACCACCAGGAGTACAGGAGTAATTCTTGAGTACAGAGCCAGGAGTAGTCCCTGAGCATTGTTGGGTATGACCCACAAAGCAAATAAAACAAACAAAAGAAATCACTCCCCTGTGTGAACAGTAACCCCAACGACCACTTGTGATCTTTGACATCACTGAGTTATAGACTGTCTCTCCCATCGTAGACATCGAGTCACTTCCCTCTCCTCTCCTCTTTCCCTCATATCTCTCATATACGCAGTCACAATAAGACCTCTTAGATATATGAGTTCACACTCTAGCAGTTTAAATTCCCTTCCTAAGGGCTTTTAAGAATTTTTTTTGTAAAATCAAGTTCAAAACTTCACTTAGAGAATATTCATTTAATTTTATCAAAGATTAGTTTCCTTCAAGGAAAGGTAATGTTTAGAAATGTTAAAATCGGAGCAGAAAGTCTTGTCCTTTTGCCATCCTCCTCCTCAATAATAACCATTAATTATTAACTTGATGAGACAAAGAAAAACCTTTTCTCAAAGGGATGTTTTTATCTATTTCTTTTTTGTCATATGCAGAGAACACACACACACACACACACACACACACACACACACACACACACACACACAGAAAAAAAGAACAAAAACAAAAAGGAGATGGTTCAGCAGTTAATATAAACTGGAAAAACCAAAGCCCAAATCCTAGCTAGCAGGAAAACTAAGCCCAGAGGGGCCATAGTGAGGTAGGCAGGTAGGATATAGGCCCCCTCCCCATGAAGTTCCTCTTTTTGAAAATCCTAGGACCTCTCTTTTCATCTGATTAATTTCAGTGATCCAGCCCCAAGGAGATTCCAGAACATTCTGAATCAGAAACGACCCTCGAAGGATCTATGAAAGCCAGCCTAAGAGCCCATTTGAGGCTCTCTCCACCCTTGGAGAAGCCCACATTCTCTCTGAGCGCGTTACTCTGTCTCTCTCACTCTCCATTCCTCCACTTATCTGCTTACCCCTTTCTCTTTCTCTCCAAAAACCTCCAAATAAAATCTGTTACTTCACTGCTTGTCTACTCCTGAAATTCTTTCCTGCGACTGAGACAAGTACCCTAGAAACCCCAGGTAAGGCCTGGGACTGGCCTCTCCTTTCCTGCAAAGAGCAAATCCTCTCCCCTGCCTGAGTCCATGGCTCCCCGAGCAATCGAGTGGCGGGGATCAACTCCCCTGCTGAGAAGACCAAGTGGACTTCAGGTGTGGCCTAACGGCCACCTTGTGGGGCTGGCGGGGTTCAGGCCCGTGCCGAGCAGGCGCTTATTGCAGACTTTACCGGCCCTAGTCTTCCAGCGACTCCTGAGTGGCAGAGGTGGAGTGAGAGAGGGTGACCATCTTTCTCTCCTCTGGACTCACGTGAGCCACCCGTGGGGTCCAACAACATCAATAGTTTGGATGTTCCCATGAGGAAGAGATTATAAAAAGTATGGCTTCACATGATCCCTTCATTTTTATAGATGTCAAGGAAAAAAATAAAATTTAAGAAAGCATAATCTTAACTTCAAACCAGAGACTGTTTTGATTTTTGGTGCTGAGACTCAAACCTAGGAGAGTCTCACACATATTCTTGGCTCTATGCACTGAGTTTGAAATAAAATTTGAAACACTGATTTAACCCACCTGCATAAGTTGCAGCTGACTGTTGCAGAGATTGAACCTGTCCACGATTGCATCCAAACTTCTGATTGATTTCTTTTAAGGGAACTTCACTGATTAAATCTAATAGCACAAGACTGGTGAAAAATCTGGAAAAGCAAACCACCAAAAAGATTATAAGTAGTTGCTTAAGTCTACTACAAAAGTACAAAATATAGACTAAAAAGACCACAGAGTTTTCTGAGAGATTTCTACCAGAATATAATATTGGTGAACAAAACTGAACTCAGTGTTTATAAAATTCTGAGGTACTAGAGAAAAGAACTAAAATTAACAATAAAAGCTTGGACTTTATACACAGCAAAAAGATCTCCATATTTCAGTGTTGCTAACAAATTTCAAGAAATTCTCAGTTCAAATAATGCAATGGTACAATTTAAAAGAACACTTGATACAGTTATACAGTCCTCTATTTCAGTAAAGTGACAGATTTCAGTTATTAAAAACAAGTTTTGATATGAAGGCAACAATACCACAAATAATCCAAGAAACATAAGTTATTGCAAATTTTATACTTGACTATGTTATACATGGACTGGAGCGATAGCACAGCGGTAGGGCGTTTGCCTTGCACGCAGCCAACATGGCCGACCTGAGTTCGATTCCTCTGCCCCTCTTGGAGAGCCCAGCAAGCGACCAAGAGTATCTCACCTGCACGGTAAATCCTGGCATGCTACCCATGACGTATTCGATATGCCAAACACAATAACAACAAAGTCTCACAATGGAGATATTACTGGGCCTGCTCGAGCAAATCGATGAACAACGGGAGGACAGTGGACAGTGCTATGTTATACATTTATTAAAGGCTAATGTCCTAAGAAAAATGTTATATTTAGAAGATACTAAAAGTTGTTCAGTTCCCTATGTAAATGTTTTAACTGATTCTCTTTTATTGGCATAAGTCACTTTAAAGAATGATACAAAGCATAAATTCATTAAATTGGTAATTCTGATTCACATTTTCCTTTAAGGACAAAAATTACTCAACTTTAAAAGGTTTTCAGGGGATGGAGCAATAGCACAGCGGGTAGGGCTTTTGCCTTGCACGCAGCCAACATGGCCGACACAGGTTCGATTCCCAGCATCCCATATGGTCCCCCGAGCACCACTAGGAGCAACTCCTGAGTGCATGAGCCAGGAGTAACCCCTGAGCATCTCCGGGTGTGACCCAAAAAGCAAAAAAATAAAAAATTAAAAAAATTTAAAAAAATAAAATAAAAGGTTTTCATATATAAAGGCTTCTAAACTATTAAGTTAAAGAAACTAAAATATCAATAAATATGCAAAAATAAGAAACCAAAAACTTTTATTATACATAGCCAAAATCCATTTTTTTTTTTTTACTGAGTTAATGTTGTTACCATGAGAATTTATATTTTGGCAATGAGACAGTTTAATGGAAAAGCGCATGCCTTGCATATTTGAGTTCAATCTCCAACACTGAAGAGAAAAAAAAATACACTTTGAATTCAGCTATTTTAAATTGGATGCAGTTTAAAACCAGTGAGTGACTACACATCTTCTGCATATCGGACACTGTGTTCAATTCTGGATAATAAAAACGTTTTGATATTTGCCTTTTATGGATGGCCATCTGTCGGTATTGTCTGTCAGTTCTGGCTACTACTTTTCCTTTCACACAACGAGCCAAGAAACCTTCTTCAATTCCCACTAGCTCTGCAACTCGTTTCATTGAAGTTGGTAGTTTCTCCCATAAACAGAAAAATCGATACCAATCAATAGTAGTCCAATCCTCAAACATAGGTGTAACCTAAAAAGAAGAAAAATAAAACAATTAGCTAAAATTAATGTGTTTTAAAGAAATAGCGATTAATATTAAAAACAAAAGTATGGGCTGCAGAGAGAGCACAGTGGGTAGGTTGTTTGCCTTGAAAATGCTGCCAATCCAGGTTTGATCTCTAGCACGACTTATGGTCCCGTGAGTCCGGCTAGAGATGATCCCTGAGCACTCTGAATGTGGCCAAAACACAAAGCCTAGAGTTAGGGATAAAATATGGGCCTTGCATATGTGAGTGGATCTTTGGATTCAATATCCTGCACAACACACAAACACACTCTCTCTCTTTCTCTCTCTCTCTCTCTCACACACACACACACACACACACACACACACACACGCCACATATAAACAAAACTAAGCAAGATCTAAAGGTAAAGGTAAAGGCCCTCCAGTTGATCGTCGATTTGCTCGAGCGGGCCCAGTAACGTCTCCATTGGAGACTTTGTTGTTACTGTGTCTGGCATATCGAATACTCTCGGTAGCTTGCCGGGCTCTCGGAGAGGGGCGGAGGAATCGAACTCGGGTCGGCCATGTTGGCCGCTTGTAAGGCGACCGCCTTACCCGCTGTGCTATCGCTCCAGCAAAATCTAATGCTTAAGAATTTGAAAATTTTTATGTGCTAACATCTCCTATATGTGAAACTTCATGTATTTAAAAACAAACCACAGAATACCAGCAACTAAGATTAAACATGAAAAGATGATGACAGTGAGACAAGAATCAGAATGAAGAAGACAGCACACAGAAAGATGGTAAGAAATAAAATAAAATGAAGCAGAATAAGAGTTGGAGCAAAAACAAGGAAAAGTCTATTGCCCTAGGATCAGCAAAGCATCATGTACGATTCAACTACCCCTTCTGATACTTCAGGAAAAAACTTGCCCGGGCTACTAGCCCACAGAGCTATCTGCAGAATTTTAAACAGAATGAAGGAACATACGCTGACAATAATTCTGTTCTGTCCGTGTGCTTATCTGAAATAGATGGGGGGTCTCCAGCTCCCTTCCTCTCACCAAACGACAGCTCTGAGCCTGTGTCTGGCTATCGTCAGTGCTGGAGCATGCATTTGGTAGCCACCCTCCAGCATTGCTGACTTATAAGTAGAAAAATGGAATCAGCAGGCAGGGCACTTGCCTTGCCCGTGTCTGATTAAACTTCTATTCCCAGCACCCCATAGGGTTCCCTAAGGACCACCAGGAGTGATCCCTGATCACAGACTAGGGGTAAGCCCTGAGGACCCCAGCGGGTGGCCCAAAGTAAAAAAATAAGTAAAGTAGAAAGATGGAAATTGCAGCTTTGCAACAGATGAAATATTTTAATATTGCTTACTGGGGAGACAGGCATTGATCTGGCTCTGTGCTGCTACTCCGAAGGTGTCAGCCACACACACAAACCAGAGAGCATGACGAGGAGTTGTCAGTGCTATGAATGTCTGAGAATCACGCAAAAATGCTTTTTGTTGCAGAGTCCCAGAATACCACCAATACTCTATTCTAAATTAAATTTTTCAGATATTTTGGCTAAAATAAAATTTTCAGTCATAACAAAAAGGAAAAAGACCATAAAACATACAAAACAGATTTCACAAAATTCAGTAACTTTAATTGTTAGGCCTGAATTCATCATAACTCAATGAGATAGCCTAGACACAGAAGGGGAGGGGGTCAGAGGTTTATTTCATCACGACCAGCCCAGAGATTGCAATGAATCCTGGAACTCTAACCCATTGGACAAATGGTTGAAAAATTGAGGTTGCTTTCATATTCCAAAACTATATTTCCAAGTGTCAACTAAAATCTTGCATGATTAACGGCAATTTGCACTTAGGTTTGTATCAAAAACAAAGCATCTTCCCCACATCCTAGTGAGATAAAAGGAGAACAAGATACAGTTCATCCATACATCAAAAAGGAGAGCAAGATACAGTTCACATGGGAGTAAATGATCCTTTACTGTTGTCAGAGCACACTCCCGCCAGGCCTTATCAGCACGGATGTTTGCCATAAATCCCACAGTCAGCACCAAGCCGCAGCTCCTAACTACTCAGAACCTTAATAGCGTATGGATTCTGTCTTCTTATCTTTTAGCTACAACGATGTTGCTGTCATTAATTAAGTGATATTATAGAGTTTTACAACAATAACTTTAATATAACAGTTAAAATAGTCCTGGTACATAACATAATCCCAAATATAAATTTTTATTTGTATTTTCTCTTTTTTAAGAGTCATACCCAGCAATGCTCAGGAGCTCCTCCTGGTTCTGTGCCTGGGTTTCACTCCTGGCAGGGCTGAGGGAACCAAGTGGTCTCAGGGACTTAACCCAGACCTTCTGTATGCAATGCATATGTTCAGACAGGTGAGATAGCTTCAGGCCCCCATAAGCACTTTTAACATCAATACTATCAAATTCTGTGCAATACTCATAATTTCTACAATATCTAAGATGAAAATATATTTAATAAAAGGAAAAACAAAAAGAGACAAGCAAAAAAAACAGAAAAGTGTATCCTAAACACAAAGGAAAAAGCAAATGATTGAAACACCATTTAGAGTCTCCAGGTATTAGAAATGTCAGATGAAGATTTCAAAGCAGATATTAAAAGCATGTTAATAAGAGAAAATAGAGTTTAATGAAGTGAAAGCATGAACAGACAGGCGAGAGAACAGCTCAATGGGCAGTGCACCTGTATGGCTTTTGAAGGCCGAGGCTCAGTCCCAGACACCCGATGATACCTTGAACACTGCCAGGAGCAACCCAAGCATCACTAGGGGCCCAAAAGCAAACAAGATAAACCTGACAATGTCTCAAGTAGAGAATCGGATCAAAAAGAAATAAAACAACAACAACAAAAAAGCAAAATGGAAATTTTAAAGTTAAAAGTGCATAATTAAAAAGCAGATTCAGCTTTCTAATTATTTCTATTTTCTCACCATTCTACAAAGAAGTAATCATTGATGTCAAGAGAGGGGTTCGGCAGGGTGATACCGTTTCACTGAAACTCTTCAGTACCACCCTCGAGAACATCATGCGATGACTGGAATGGGAAGGAATGGGAGTGAAGATAGATGGTAGGCAACTACACCACCTCCGCTTTGCTGATGACATTGTTTTAATAACACCAAACATCAGCCAAGCGGCACAAATGCTGGCTGACTTTGACCGTGAGTGTGGAAAGGTAGGACTACAGCTGAATCTTACAAAGACAATGTTTATGAGAAACAGCCTCGTTCCTGACGCCCCATTTGCTCTCAACGGAACTACCACCTCTGAATGCAACACCTATGTGTACCTAGGTCGAGAGGTCAACATGACAAATGACCTGGCACCCGAGCTGCGCAGGAGGAAGAGAGCGGCTTGGAACGCCTTCAAGAACGTCGAAGAAATAGCTAAGAGGATGAAGAAACTCCGGCTCCGGGCACATCTCTTTGATTCCACTGTTCTTCCTGCATTAACATATGCCTCAGAGACCTGGGCCCTACGCAAACAGGATGAGAACGCTATTCAGGTCTCCCAAAGAAGAATAGAAAGAGCTATGCTTGGAATATCACATTTCACTCAAATGAGAGAAAGAATCCGGAGTTCCGACATCCATCGACGATCAAGAATCAGGGACCTGTCTCGTTTGCCAAGGTGTCAAAAATCAGATGGGCTGGTCACGTAATGAGATTTAAAGACGACCGCTGGACTGGAGCTGTTACCGACTGGATTCCACGGGATGTCAAAAGACCGCGTGGCCGCCCACCTACCAGATGGTCAGACTTCTTCATCAAGATCATGAACGATCCGTTTGAGGCTCTTCATGTTCCTAGAGCGAACAGACGCCACTGGGCTACACTAGCACGCGACAGGGACAAATGGAGACGTTACTGGGTCCCGCTCGAGCAAATTGATGACTAACGGGAAGTTAAGTGATTAAGTGAATTAAAAAGCAATTCACTAAAGAACCTAACAGTGACTGAAGAGAGAATCAGCAAACATGAAGATAGACAGAGATATGCCAACTAAAAGAGGGTGGGGGGCAGGGGAAAGAGGAAGAATGAACAGAGACTTATAAAAAGCAGCATATATAGGATAGTACAACACCAGATACAATAGAGTCAAAAGTAGAAGAACCAAGAGAGCTGGAGAAATGGCTTAAGGGTATGGATCACTTGCGTAAGCCCCAAGTTGAATTCAGTACAACCTGGTCCCCTGAGTATCCTAGGCACACTGCCCTCGTGGCCCCCAACACCACTGGGGTGGCACTGGTAGTCCCCACATGTCCAGGTCAGTAAGAGTACAAAATAGTCAGGCCCATATAGCTGAGAACTGCTAGGAGTGGCCTCTGGACTCCTGTACTCATCTGGAGAGCCTACTTTGCAATAACAGAGAATATCTAAAAGGAAACAAAAGGGGAAAAAAGTATCACATATTAGAGAAAACAAGTAAGATTGAGTTGACTTGACATCAGAAATAACACAGGGTAGACTGTAGTGAGATGACATATTTGAACTGCCAAAAGAAAAAGAAAACTGTCAACCAAAAATCTCATTTAAACTATCTTTCTGAAAACAAAAGCACAAAAGAATTACTTGCAAAAAGAAAATCTAAGAAAAATTTTAGAATGCTTACAAGAAAGATTACAAAAAAGCTTTTCAACTGAAAATGACTCAAAACGGCATTCTGATAACATATAATAAGCAGAGTGGCAGTAAAAATAATTGTGTGGATATTTATGAAGACTTAATGATTGCCTATTTCTCCTAATTTCTGCTCTTGATGGATTTATAAAGTAACTGAAAAAAAAAAGAATATTATATACACATGTCTTGTGTGTATATTTGTAATACGCTGACAACAATAAATCGCAAAGAAGGCTGGTTGGAACAAAGTCACACTAGCATAAAAAAATAAAAGATAATAACTGAAATCCATATAATGTACAAACTTCATATGTTTGCTCTCCTTTGATCGCCCAGCTTCTTTAA